TTTTTTTAATCTTTCCCCCATGTAATCACTCTAGTTTCTCTCTTCTGTGCTTTCTTCTTGTCTTTTTCTTTTTACCCTCTCGCACCTTCACAGTGTCTCTCGCCCTCTTGCCCCTTTTTTTATAATCAAGATTTGATGTGAAGAAAACTTGAATAATCAGAGAAACAGAAGGGAATCGAAAAAGGGTAAATTGGAGAAGTACTAGTCAGAAATAAGAAAAGAGAGGAAGTGCATTCAACATAGGAAACTCAATCAATTTTTTTTGTCCAAATGAGACTCCTGCAGAAATCACTTTGTAACTGTAGAGATATATATATTTATTTATATCTAGTTGAAACTAACGACATACAAACAATCAAAGAACAATAGGTATGCTCTCAATGCCACAAACCTTATAATCGTTTGCTGCCCAGGTTTTTCTTGCTCATTATTTGTCCAAACTTACGTCCACGAAATTCAAATTGGAAAACAAACTAATATCAACCTAAAATATCTCCAAGACTCTAAAGAAACTTTTCTTCATTTTCACAAGTTTCCCTCCCTGTCCACGGATCATGTTCAAGGTAACAAATCTAAGCTTTGATAGCTCAAATGACGTTGTTAAGCATAGCTTTTCATTACTTTTATTGCTTTGCTTTTTAATATCGTATCTATAGGTATCTGTTATTCTGATCAGGATTCAGCTTTCTGGTTTTCTCACTCTATTGTTTATTCGCTTCTTGTATCTTTCATTCTTTGCTCACGCTACTAGTCTCTGGTTTGGCTATTGGGTCGGATTGAGCGAATGGGTATTCCCACTGTTTTTTGTTTTTCTTTTTCTTTTTCTTTTGACTGGTAATTATTTGCGCACGTTACTTGTGTCTCTAAGCTCCTCCACCAAGTCTTTTTTTTTTTTCCTGGCTGGGATTTTGGTTAATTGGGGTTTTGATACGATTTTACTCATCTGTCAATTGATTATTACAGTTCTATTTTGTGTTCTTTTCTGGGGTAGCGCAAGGGAGGCTGTAATTCCCGTTTACTTGAATCACTTTGTATTTGTAAAGTTTCTGTTGCTGTCCACAAATGGAATATAATCTCTTTCTTGAAACGGGTTGATGTGCTTTTGAAGATTCAATGTTCTTTTAGTGAGTTAGAATGGAAGTTCTGCTCAGGTTGATTTGTGTATTTCTTGGGGACTTTTTCTCTCCCCAGCTTCTCTGGATTGGTTTGGTGGGGTGCATGTACGAGCTTCTCTTCAAATGGTATTTGATTGAATAATTGGTTTTAGGAAATGATGAGCCGAGGAGTCAAGATGAGAAGGACGGTGATGCTGAAGGTGGATCACCCGCCTCTCATGACAGCAATAACCACCAGCATTCATTTGATAAGGGGAATGGGGAATCGTTAAAGACATATCAATCTCCTGGTCAATCATTTGTTGCTGGTAAGTCTCTTAAAGAAGGCACTGGGAATGCAAAAGTTACACACAAAGTTGAAGTAGATGATGAGGATATTAGGTGAAAAAGGATAAGGAAGCTCGTAATGTGGATAAGCCTGTGGATATTGGGTTAGAAGAAGTAGTGTGGGTTACTGAAATTCTCTTCAAGAGGTTAAAGATGATTCATTTACGGAAATTATTGATTCAGTTAAGGCTTTTCATTCTGAGGTAGAGGAGAAGATACGTGTTTCAGAAGGTATAGCAGCTGAAACTTCAGTTGCTTCTGATGTGGGTAAATCGAGCTTGGATAAGAAAAAAAGAAAGTCTGCCTCCTAAACTGGAAGAAGTTAGTGAAGTTTCATCAGCTATGGAGGATTTGCAACCGAGAGGCAATCCAGATAACGTTTTTCTCAGATGTGACAGTAAGATATTGTCATCATCAGATGCTCCTGTTATTGAACCATGTAAGACTATGGGAACTCCTAAATAAATCATCTTTAGCCTCCTGAAGAGAATCATTTGCAGTAACCTGCACTACTTCTTCTAACCCAAGACCCACAGGCTTATCCACATTACGAGCTTGCTTATCTTTTTTCACCTGGCTGACTTGAGAGTCATCAGCTGAACTGCTGCTGGTGCTAGAGCTACTTTTCCACATTCGGAGTATATTACAATAAGTGAATTACCCACAAAAGCTTCGGTTTCAAAACCTAGTTTGATAATAACAGTGTGGATTTCTGTAACCGAATCCAAAGCTTCTAGTCCACAGCATGCATTCAAGGCACTGGTTGGTGTAAATTGATTTGGGAGCACTCTCATTCCTATCATGTCAGAGAAAAGTTTAAGTGCCTCTTCATGCATGCCGTTCAAGCCATAAACTTTCGAAAGAGCAGTTCATATAACCACGTTCGTATGCAACTTCTCATCAAACACCTTCCTCGAACATAGAATCTGCCTGCAGTTGGCATAAAAGGTTATAAGTGGAGCAGATATGAACTCGTCGAAGCAGAAACCCGTCTTAATAACATGACCATGAATCTGTTTACCCTGGTGGAAACCCAATGAATTAGCACAAGCAGTCAATACACAGGCAAACGTGCTTGAAGTGAGATGAACACCCGAACCCAACATCTTCCTGAAAACACACAAAGACTCTTGGCTCTTCCCATTGTGGTCAAGCAGTCAATAACAAGCCTGTTATTTCGACCATAAGCAACGGTCATCAGGGTTCAGAGATTAACGTCAGGAGGAATTATTCTATCGGAAACAATGCAAGCTTCGTCTAATCTTCCGCTCTGGAGGTGATCAGAAAGCAAAAAATTTGTAAGATAGGCTGCTAGAGTGCGCATAATTCGTGATACTCACGAATATTTTACAGGAATTTAGGAATGTAATGAGAAAATTGAGGAATGAAGTAGAGAATAGCAGAGAGTTGAAATCTTGAGGAATGGAGCGAATAGCTAACATTGGCCCGTCACTGTCGGATTCCGAAATGGTGGACTATCTAGGAGAGATTGTGCTTTTGAAACGCACCGTTTTGTCGTAGCGGGTATATATGGGCCTGGGCTTAATGGTTCTTCGCGTAGTTATGGGCTTATAATCAAGTTAGAACCCATTATCGTAGCTCACATTTAAAAAAAAAAAAAAACATATATAATGTATTTTTGTTTATTTAAATATTTTATATTAATTAAGTAATAAATATTCTTCCAGTAAGGAAAAAAAAAAAAAAAGAAACAGTACGCCCAGATTCATATATATATATATATATATATATATATTATAATAATTTATTTTCTAATGGGAATGCTGCAACTGAATTTTCTTCGATATTCATGTTGCTCGCTGCTATAGTAGGTGTTGCATCCGCTATTTCGGGTGTCAACCATCTTCGTTCTTGGAACTCCAAGAGTCTTCAACCAGCTACTTCTGCTTGCCCAGCAAGACAGAAATTTATATTCCCATTTCGGTTCATAATTATGTGTTGAAATTGATGTTCTACTTGTGGGTTTGTGCAGAAAACAATGGAAGCATTTATGATCATCCTTTCATCTACCCAGCTACTTCACATAATATCCATTCACCGACGATGAAGATAAGACTTTAATCAAAATTTGATGTGAAGAGAACTTGAATAATAAGAGAAACAGAAGGGAATAAAAGAAGGAAAAAGTGGAGAAGTACTTGTCAAAGATAAGGATAGAGAAGGAAATGCATTCAACATAGGAAACTCCATCTGCATAAATAACTTTGTAAACTGTAGAAATTTATATATAGCTGAAGCTAAAGACATACAAACAACCGAAGAACAATAGCTCTGCTCTCACTACCGCAAACCTTATAATCGTTTGCTGCTCAGGTTTTTCTTGCTCATTATTTGTCCAAACTTACATCCATGAAATCCAAATTTGAAAAAAAAAAATAATAATAATAATAATAATAATAATCTAAAACATCTCTAAGACTCTTAATGAAAGCCGCCTTCATTTTCACAATCTTCCCTCCCTGTCCACCGATCTCTGTCATGGTCTGTTTCTGCATTGGAAAAAAGAACAGGATATAGTTCAACACAATTCAAGAAACTAATTTCAGATATTTGTACTGTCTATTTTCTAGGTTCATCTTTGTATCGACATTCATCTATGCACGTTCACAGCTTAAAAAGCTTTTAGATGGTCTATCAAAGTTATACGCAATGCATATAAAAGGAAGCACACCATCAAATGTCTTAAGTACCTATTGTTAGTCTAGGCATAAATAAACATGAATATGAAACTAGCAAGGCAATGTTCTGGTACTCTAATTCAGCACAATCTTACCATCAAACTTAATATGGAACAAATGAGCCCTGCAACAGAAACATTAATAAACAAAAACTACAATCTCGTGGAATTGAAGATAAAACTATGTCACAAGATTGTTATGATCAATCAGACAAATAAAGAATCAGCAGAGACATAGATGAAGCTAAAACATGCACGCCAGTTGCCACAAATTTTTATTGGCACACAAACCTTATCCTATCGCTTCTGTTCCAGGATAGAATTTTAACATCCTCCTAAAGTGGACAGTCTGTAATCACAGAAGGAAAGGGAGAAGAGAGAGAGAGAGAGGGAGAGGATACAGAAACAGAAAAGGCAGATGAGCAAGAATGCCTCCAGGCAGACAAAAC